TTTCAAAATGTTTTTTAAGAAAATGTATGTTTTATATGACGGTAAATTGAGAGAAAATTTATTTTTTTTTTTTAACATATTTAAAATGGGTAAAGTTAAAGGTACCACAATAAAAACGAATAGTTTATTCCCATTGAAATAAAATGAATGTGAGCATTTACATTTATATATAGTTATGTCGTAAAATGCAAGCACTTAGCGGCATATCGTCTGAGTGGGCACGTTGTGGCATAATCGGCCTTTTAAAATTAAATAAATAACTTACCGTTTTGTTCAAAAATACATGTAGTTCTATAGGGTGTAAAAAGCATGTAAACAATAATATATCTGCGATGAAAATTAGCATGTGATAGAGAAGCAATTAGTAATTCTTCCATAGAATTAAATACTGTAGATCACTAAATTTTCGCGACACCTTATTTTCGCGAGATTGTCATTGACTCTTAGTAAGCGAGACATAATTTTCACGAATAGTTGTTATTCCTCTATATAATCCTAAGGAATACTTTTAAACGCGAGAATTAAATTTTCACGAACGCATTGTCTCGCGTAATTACGCGAAAATAAAGGTCTCGCGAATAAAAAGTGATTTACAGTAACAAAAAAGAATAGACGAGTTTTGTTAGATAATATATAAATAAATCTCCAAACATTAATAGAAACCAGAGGTATTGTAAGCAATGAGCTCATGAAATGATACCCCGCCCCGCCTCCCATATAATACTAATGGCAAAGTCCATGTTTTGCTGTGGCCGGGAAACCCAAAATATGTGTCGGATCAAAAATGTAATATAGAAGGTGAACAACGACAGTTTGTAATAAAGATTCTGTGAAAGTTTCATCAAATTTCACTCAGTGATATAAGAGAAGTTGCGAATAAGAGATGTGTATACCCTAAAGCGTGACAGACAGAGGAGAGGACAGACATTATTACCCATTACTATATACCCTCCCACTTTTCAAGCGGATACAAAACAAGAGGCCCATGGGCCACATCGCTCACCTGAGAAGCTTTGACCATTCTGTTCTTTACCAGATTTCCCCCTTGTTATACATAATGCATCCCCACCCTACCCCACTGATCATAATTTAGACATTTTGAAATCTACACTACCCCATGATCCTTCCATGGGCACATATGTTTCAGCTTTTTTGGCCCAGTGGTTCCTGAGAAGAAGATTTTCAAAGATTTTTCCTATATATTTCTATGTAAAACTTTGATACCCTATAATGGCCCCGCCCTTCCCCCGGGGGTCATTATTTGAAGAATTTAGAATCTACATTATACCAGGATGCTTCTACATAAGTTTCAGCTTTTCTGGCCCAGTGGTTCTTGAGAAGAAGATTTTCAAAGATTTTTCCTATATATTTCTATGTAAAACTTTGATACCCCATTGTGGCCCCGCCCTTCCTCCGGGGGTCATGATTTGAACAATTTAGAATCTACACTACACCAGGATGCTTCCACATAAGTTTCAGCTTTTCTGGCCCAGTGGTTCTTGAGAAGATTTTCAAAGATTTTCCCCCGGGGGTCATTATTTGAACAATTTAGAATCTATACCAGGATGCTTCCACATAAGATTCAGCTTTTCTGGCCCAGTGGTTCTTGAAAAGAAGATTTTCAAAGATTTTTCCTATATATTTCTATACAAAACTTTGATTCCCCATTGTGGCCCCGCCCTTTCCCCGGGGGTCATGATTTGAACAATTTAGAATCTACACTACCCCAGGATGCTTCCACATAAGTTTCAGCTTTACTGGCCCAGTGGTTCTTGAGAAGAAGATTTTTTAATGACCCAACCCTATTTTTGTCTTTTCTTGATTATCTCCCCTTGCGAGGGGATATGTCCCTTCATTTTAACAATTTAAATTCCCCTTCACCCAAGGATGCTTTGTACCAAGTTTGGTCAAAATTGGCCCAGTGGTTCTTGAGAAGAAGTCGAAAATGTGAAAAGTTTACAGACGGACGGACGGACAGACGGACGGACAACGAACAAAATGTGATCAGAAAAGCTCACTTGAGCCTTCGGCTCAGGTGAGCTAACAATATATTGATTACCTTTAAAAAGTATCCAACATCTTTGGATCTGCTTGAAATAATATAATTTTAAACACCTTCTTTATTGCAGTTTCTCTTTAGAGATAGACGAATGATTTTTTTTTAAAGTTTTGAATGGGTAAAAGTTAAATATTAAACATCAATAACAAATAGTTAAATCATATTGTAATGAAAAGGATATGAGTATTTAGATTTAGATCAGATGAAAATCAATATTCGGAATATAAGGTAAAATATTCCTCTGCTCAAAATTTCACCAATTTTTTTTTCAATTTCAAACATTGATTTTCATCAGATTAAGATAAAAAATAGTTTGAAGCATGAGGCGTTGGTTACTTTTTTTTTTTTAAAGAAAAAATTGATTCTAGTATATCAAATCATAATGTGAAGAAAATTTGATTTGGTAAATAAATAGAAGGATTAATTTTTTTTATCTCATGATAAAACATACTGAAGAATATTCAATTGTTTCCTGTGCTTAAATAATGCGCATCCATCAACAAGAGTTATCTGTCCATTATCAGTATTTCAGTAAAACAAAGAATTAACTACATGTTTGTAAAAATACTGCATCTGAAAATTCTGTAACAATTCACAATGACTTATATGTTAAGAGATGGAAATATCTCAATTTACACCGTTTGAAGGAACTAAAAATAAATGTTTTAGGTAAATATTATAAATAATTAATGAAAATACTGGTAATAGAAACTAAACTCTATAACAGAACAGATTCGATTGAGTTGATTATCAAATGGTCTTTACAACTGAAGTCTGTAATTCCTGACATGAAAATTCATTGAAAAACAAAAATTGTTAAATTTGAACCAAAGGGATATTTCCCGTTCTTTTAAATAAAGAAATGGCTATTTTCATGCACATATTCACTCATTTTTAGAACATTTCAAACCCAGTGACATCTGTTAATGCTGAGACTCTCTTGGAAACTTTTCTTGCCCAAAAAGCCAACACACATTATGCTTATTAAACATGCTAAACAGTGACAATCCTAAGATTACACTGTAAATGAAAATTTAAGAAACAGGAATTTTAAGCTGTTTATTGATAATGTTGCAATGATTTATAGAAAGATTCACAAATAATAGAAGGTCATGGCATTGCTCATCACATGTAATGAATAATAAGTTTGTGTTAAAAATTTTCACACGTAAAAATATTATGTCATAAAGTCAATCAGGTAAAAAAAATCACAGAGATGATAAAATAAAAAAGTTCATAAATAGTATTTTTCAACAATTTCATATCAAATATAAAGCATTCTTTAAATAAAATCCAAGATATTTTCAAGTTTGAACATTAAAGTGTAATCAAAATTTTGTTCAAATGGGATTCATGAAAACAAAATGTTTTTCACAAGGAACAAGAGGCCCATGGGCCTTAAAGGTCCCCTGAGCATCATGTAACAACTTTCCAACAATTGAATTTGATTTGTGTTTTAAACCAGAGATGATGACATTCCAAATTATGAAAGAAGCACCATTGCTCATCATAACTATACACTTAGTTTAAAGCAATATGAGCTGCATGTTTGACATCGGAAATTTTTATTGCAAATTTGTAATTAAGTAATTTAATGACAGAAAAATAAATCATTTATAAACTTCTGTTGTTCATATTTGCGATGGAAATCTTTTTATTAGCTTTGTTTGAAGCAAAATTGAATTATTGTCGTCCTGTGCAATAATGATTTCTAATATAAAACTGTATATTCGGTTGTAAAGAAATATTTCTTATATAACATTTTAAAACTTTATTTTGGACTTATTAGTCATAAGAATTTAAATTACATACAAATTAATCATAATAGCACATTTTACAATCAAAATAAAGTTTTCAAGATACAGCTCATATTGCTTTAATTAATTATTATCCATAGGCAGAGTATGGGAACCAAAATATGCATTTAAACTAATCAAGAATAGAAAAGCAATTGATCCTCCATTGGGGCCCACCCTACCTCCATGGGTTATGATTTGAATCTATTACTACTTCACAATAATTCCACATAAGTTTCATAATTTCTAGCATTGTGGTAATTGAGAATATTTAAAATGATGCCATTAATTTTTCATGAAATCATAATGGTCTCCCCTTGGAAGAAGGTGGGGCCATCCTTTAAAAAAAAAACAATAAAATCCATGTACCAGAGGATACTATGTGGAAAGTTTTGGTTGAAAATGGTTCACTTCTTGCGAAGACGAAAATGTAAAAAGTTTACGAAAACAACAACAGACAAAATTTCTATCAGAAAAGCTCACTTGAGCCTTTGGCTTGGGTGAGCTTAAAACATTGTATTTACATATATTTTAACCCTTAGGTTTCTGCCTGCCTTTAGTAGATTCACTATGAATTTTGTGCAGCATTACAAATAGAATGCAACACAAAACTTGGTATTTCAATTATTATATACCTAGAACTGTCTCATTCTGTGAATTCCAAGTCTAGGAAGTTGAATTCATCATTAAAACTGAGAACATAAATTGCTTGCAATAATTGTTTTCTATTCTTCTTCAATTAGTTGACACTAATACTGTAAACCAACTATTACTTACATTATCTTTTATTCACGATTTCTTAATTCTAAATCAATCCAAAACACTAAAACACAGGAAAATAAATGGTTTGTGGGGATAAATATTTGCAAGTTAAAGTTATTCACGAAATTGCTGATATTTCTCACACACGAATAAAGAATGGTTTACAGTATTAGGATTGATTTGTTTGTATTTAGGCAGCAGTAAAATTTCTTTTATTTTTTTTTCTTCATGCCCTTACAATACTCTGTTCCTTGGAGAACTTTTCTGTTCCATGTATCAACTTTGATTTCTTTCTCTAAAATAGGGAATCCTGGAACACAGCTTTTTAACTGATTTGTATAAATATCCCACTTTTCCTTGGCCAAGATTTGAAAATTTGATTTATGTATGTCAGCTTCCACAGTGTCCTCAAAAACTAATCCACAACAAAAAATTCTGTAGTGTAAAACAAGCCAAAGAATAACAACAGCTTCACTTGAGAGACAGCCATCTGCATTTACATTAAATAAATCAATAAAATTGCTGCACAGCAGGATGTCATTCACTGCATCATACATGATAATTTGAATGTAGTCTGGTGAAACAAGTATATTTGGTATCATACAATTAGGAAAGTTAGGATGTCGCTGTCTCTGAAGTAAGGAAAATACAATGGTCTGAGCTATGGCTTGTTCACTTGTTCCAACAGCTGTTCCTTTCACTTCTGTAATCGTTTTACCTCCAGGAGAGACCTCCTCTTTCTCATCAACTGAAATGACATTTGAACAAACTTTTTACCTTCCTTTAAATACAAGTGGAGAAACCTGTTTTTTATCATGTACGTGAAAATGTTCATAATATCATTCAACTAAGGTCCATGGACCACAACTCTCAACCAGTGTTCAAGCTAGGACACAATTAATAGAGGGGTTACCACACATGCCCTCAAATTTATGTGCCCTTGTGGCCCCGGCCCCAAGTGGGGCCTCTGTGCCCCCAGTTTGTACCCAGAATCACTTAACTTTCCTGATCCAAAGCACTGATTAAAGCTGAACACTTCTCATAAATAGGCACTGTCAGAGGGTATATAAACCGTTCCCTTTCGTTACACCCGATGCACACTTGAAACTCGTGACCGACATGTAGTACTCCTATCGTGTTCTTAGATTTTGTGTGTGTATTTCTTGTTTTTATGTGCATTTTCTGTTTGTAAATAATGTATTGACCTGTATTTTCCATGATACTTCTGTCCTGTTTTGGAAAAAATATGTAAAATTTGATAATTTCATCGATATTGAGTAGCAAGCTTTGTAAGATATACGTCTGCACTCGTCGAATCTCTATAGTAAAATACATTGAACTGACTAGCGATCTGCTCTTATATACGAGTTGTAGGGAGAGCGTTGAAGAAAGAAAAATATGGCAGACTATGTCCATTTACAAGTAGTGTTCAGCTTTAATCAGGAAGGCCACAATTAAATATTGTTGGTATGGCATTGCCGACTCAGTCTTCTTATGTTTTGGTCAGTAGGTAGGGAAAATATTTTTTTTTCAATTTTAGAAATGCTAGTATCTGTGCGTCATGGGTTTCTGGTTGTTTAACAACAACTGAACTCCGATTTGCTTCCCAGTTGTTATTTATTTTCAAACCCTATTAGTTTTAGACCTTTATTATACAAAGGATGTTCGAAAATTATTGAGACATAGCATATATTTTGCTTTCTAAAAACGGACAGACAGACTGACAGACAGACACATGGACGGACACCGGACACTGGAGCTAAAAAACAAGAGGCCCATGGGCCTTAGAGGTCACCTGAGCATCATGCAACAAATTTCCAGTGATTGAATTTGGTTTATGTTTTTAGATGTGTGGCATTCAAAATTTTGAAAGAGGCACCATTGCTCATCATAACTATACACTTACAGACCCTAAACCGTGCTACTACACCACTTGAACGGTACGGTTCGGTACGCTTTGTGCACGGAACGGTACGCTTTGTTCACGGAACGGTTCGTTTTGAGAACGGTACGGTACGCTTTGTGCACGGAACGGTTCGCTTTGTGCACGGAACGGTACGCTTTGAGCACGGAACGGTTCGCTTTGTTCATGGAACGGTACGCTTTGTGGACGGTACGTTTCGTTTCTTGCACGGAACGGTTCGTTTTGTGAACGGTACGCTTTGAGAAACGGTATGCAAATGAAGTGGGCGGAGCCTGCTAGCTTTAATTCTTGATTGGCTGCTAAAAATTTATTCATTTTAAATGACTTTTGAAGTACTTAATGCATGTATATAATTATATTTCAGCTATTAACAAATTAGTTTCTCGGTTTCATATTAAACATTTAACACTACAGCGGTGATGGAGGAAAAATGAAAAAAAAAATGAGAGGAAGAAAAAACATCATCCCACCGATGTCTTTGGCATTTTGTATAGATATGTATTAATATATTTAGAATTCGTAAATATTTCCGTATTTAATTTTTACGTATGCTGACCCTTCATTTGAAAAAGGAAAAAAAAAATAAATGAAATTTTTTTCACTTTAAAATAAAGTTGTAACATAATTAAAAGTAATTAATATATACCAGGTATATACTTGTTCTATACATATAACGCTATGCACATAATTATAGAAATTATTTTTAATTGATTGATCTATAGAAATAAATATGAATATTCCTGCTTCATTTTTATTCCTAGTAATTAGATATGTTAATTGTTTTTTTTAATTGTAGATCTATCGCTTAAACGTTTGAATCAGAAGAGAAATATCAGTAAACAAAATAAATACAAAAATCAACAGCAGACACACGAAATTAATACAATAACTTCCGAGCACTTTCTCGTAACAAAAACATTCTTTTCACAGACAAGTATTTATGTTTTCAATTATCCTTTCAGTGTATTAAGTAATTATTTTTATAAGTTTTTCTTTATTTTATTAAGTTATTCTATTCTTGTTAAGTCTGTAAAAACGAGAGAGAGAGAGAGAGAGGATAGAGAGAGACGCAAACCCTTAATACATGTACATGTGTACATTATCTGTAAAAAAAAAATAACTTGTATATATTCTCATTCTTCGTTTTATTTACATCGCCAAAGTCACAATTAATCAGTCTATGATGCTACTTAATCAACCCATTTACAACTATTGTGCAATGAATAATCCGTTCTCTGTACATCATGCTGCCGCATGAAATCCTCCTGCATCGCCTGTCAATCAAAATGGCATGACGCTAGGCGACCCTGAGGGTATATTCGATTAAACGACACGGGTTACACGAGTCACTAGAGTTATAAATAAAACAACCTATCTTCGACACGGGTGATCAACCCTTGTTACGCGAGTATACTCCTCAGTTTACCTGGAGTAACAGGTAAAAAAAAATGGCGGGAAGTGAAGTCGCATTGTTAATGCGAAAACTGTTTCTGCATAAATATGTCAGTATTTGTATAAGAAATTTACAACGTCAATGAAAAAAGTCTGCAATATAATTTTGACACCCCCTTTTTATTTTTTAGTTTTTAGATCAACCTCTTAAAATTACTGTTGTTTTATCATTGAGAGTTTTTTTTTTTTTTTTTTTTTTCAAATAAGGAAGTTTATCCAGCTTTTTTTTTAAAATCTGCCTATAATTATTGCCCGAACCTCAAGATCCCGTTTTACAAATGAACTTACGACTACAAGCAAATTCAAGGAATTGTGGTCCCCCGCTTTCGATGTCTTTTTGGGTGATATGTCATTTTTTCTGACATATTTTTGCGTAATATGAAAATCCTATCACATGTTATTTATTTAGAAATCATCACTGAAATCCGAGGTCAAGGTCAAAGGGTCAAAGTTTTTGGTATTTAATGAAAGGTCTTCTCACAAGGATTACGTATGTAAAGTATGAAAGCCCTAGCCCTTACCATTCAAAAGTTATGGCCAAGGTTAACGTTTTTTATAAGTACGAAAAATTTCCAAGGTCAAAAGGTCAAGGTTGTTGGTATCTAATGAAAGGTCTTTTCGCAAAAATATATATGTGAAATATGAAAGTCCTAGTATCTACCATTCAAAAGTTATGGCCAGAGTAAAAGTTTGGAATTTCTGTGTAAAAGGGGTCAAACTCCAAGGTCAAGGTCAATATGTCAAAATCGGTGGTACCCAAAGAAAGGTCTTGCAAAAAAGAATACATATGTGAAAAATGAAAGTCCTAGCATCGGCAGTTCAAAAGTTGTGACCAAGGTCAAAGTTCTTGAAAAAAGGTTTTACTCAAAGGTCAAAGGGTCAAAGTTCATGGTATCTAATGAAAGGTCTTCTTACAAGGATTACATATGTGAAGTATGAAAGCTCTAGCCCTTACCGTTCAAAAGTGATGGTCAAGGTTAATGTTTTTATAAGTACGGAAATCTCCATGGTCAAGGTCGATAGGTCAAAATTGTTGGTATCCAATGAAAAGGTCTTGCCACAAAGAATATATATGTGAAATATGAAAGTCCTAGTTTCTACCATTCAAAAGATATGACCAAAGTAAAAGTTAGGGTTTTTTGTGTAAAAGGGGGTCAAACTCCAAGGTCAAGGTCAAAAGGTCAAACTTGGTGGTACCCAAAGAAAGGTCTTGTCACAAGGAATACACTTGTGAAATATGAGCTCAGCTAAATCAAAAGTTATGGGCAAGGTTAAAGTTTTTGTGACGGACTGACAGACGGACAGACTGACAGACTGACGGACAGACGAATGAAATTTAATGTCCCCTCGCTTTCGCGAAAGCGGGGGACAAAAACCAAAAACTTATGTTGATTATAAATTTTTGAAAATTAACTATTTTGGAAATTGTTACCATAAAACATTCTAAATTCTTTTGAAGAAGAATAAAATCGCAACTAATTTCTGGACTTTGTGATATGCACCTAAATTCCGGTCTTAGGGCCTCCAGAATCACAATAACTTTTAACCCCCCCCCCCCCCCCCCCCCCCCAAAAAAAAAAGAAAAAAAAATGTGATATACTAGTACTGCGCGGGGTATATCGATAAAATCGCATATCCCTTGTAATAAATTTATTTTTATTTATTATTTATTTTAAATTCTTATTACTTGTTTGTATATTTATTTTTGCTTGTCAAAAAATTATACGAGACTTAACATCTGTGTGATTTGATGCCCCCCCCCCCCCCCCTTTGAAAAAAAAATATTGGATGTCTGTGCTTACATTATCCCCTATAACTTTTTAAAAATTAATTTTGGTCCTCACTAACAAATTAATACTATACTTATTCATTCCTACTATAGCTATATATTTTTGTCCCTGCACAAAGCCGTACTAAGGAATTGGAAAGGTTTATTTTTTTATTTTTCCTGTTGCCATGGGAACAGGAATCCATAGCAACTAACGAATTAATCACCAGTTTCAGTTTGCAGACGCATTCCTACATGACTGTCAAAAAATTTCAAGATCATATTAATTCCTGGCAAAACTATTTTTATGCATAAATAGAATGTCTATTCAAAAGGAGATTTATTCGCATTTTTGAACAAATATTGGGTTTTTTGATAATCGAAAAAAAAAGATGTTTGGACAAATATATTTTTCTAGAGTTTTGATATATCAAAAGGCTTATTATAAATAACAAAATTCCACTGGAATCATTTCTGCTGCAATTTGTTTGAAGTTTGGGTGTTTTTGAGTTAGATTGACTGGACTAACTGAAATTGCTCTCACATTTGATCCTGTAATTACCTTATAACTGAATTATTAATAATAAGGATTTAACTTCATAAG